TATCAGTCTGTCTGTGAGTGTGGAATCCTTTACTCTTGTTTCCTTCCTTTATGATAGTACTGCATGCTTTGAATCACAAACACGCTGGTTGTTTTGTTTCTCAGATACACAGAACCTGTGTCTAATGTTGCCCAGAGGCTCTGCGGCTTACGGGGCTGTCTTTGGATCAGATTTGGTGATGAAGCAACACTTCAGTTGCAGTGAATTCCACATAAACATGAGTGTTTAATGGCAGATTTTACTCTGATCATAGCTCGGTAAGATGGGTTGAGGATAGAATTCTGTAAAGTCTGCTGGTTTGGTTGACTTCATTCAAGACCCACCTGCAGTGACTGATGATGAGAAGTGGTGGCAGCTCCATCCTCCCCCCACCCAGCTGCTATTGATCAGTGTATTGACTGAATCCATTTGTAGATTACCATCATTCCACTGCCGGTGTGCACGTGTTCAGATGGAATGTATCTGGACAGACCTGGCGATTCAAAGGAAAGAAATTCAGTGGAATGCATGAAAATTCATTTGTAGTTATTTTTAGTTCAGCGCGATTTTCACAGTTGACTAAAAATAGGTCAGTTAGTGAGCTTTCCCTGCTTTTGCTGGAGATATGCTCGTGTTTATCCCCTGTTATAATCCCTAATGCTCCTGCCCCCATCAATATCAGCATGTGCCCGTTAGTGCACTGCCATTAGAATTAGTCTGTGTCGTATGTTTTAACACAGGGGATGTTCCACATCTGTTCCACATCTGTTACCCTACAAAATAGCAGAAAATATAAACAACTTTCTTTGGGAAAAAAAGATTAAACCTTTCTAAGATCTTTACTTTGCTTTGAGTTGCTAAAAACTATTATATCTGGATGTTATTGAACATGCCAGCCTGTAAGAGATCTCAGATAAAAAAAAGATATAGAAAGATATGTCTAAGCTCAAAATGACTTTTATTTAATGAGGCGAACCAGAGAAAAAAAAAATATATATACATTTATCTAGTTTTTTTTTTCTTTAACAGGCTTTGCTTTTTCTAGTTAAATTAAATTTAATTCCAGCTAATAATATATGTCTGTTTCTAAATATGTACAGTTCACATTCAGATTTAGTAAATAGTGTTACTTTGATTCATTTAAGCCAAGGAAATGCTCTTTGTAAAGTAGTGCTGCCTTCATGTGGCTGTTAGTGGGGATAAAGAAATGTCCTATTCTCCTCACCGTTCTCTTATTCATGAGCAGGAAGTAGCCAGAGTGTTTATTCTCTGATGATCCAGCCCTAAAAATACATTTACTCTACTAGGGTTGTACTTAAACCTGATAAAATGCCACGACTGACATGGCCATAGTTTCTGTTAATCCCTCCTGTGGTAAATGTCAGTTCTTGAAGAAAATCTGTCCATCTTAAAAAAGTCAAATTGCATTACTGTATTGTGGGTAGAGTTTTGCCTGCTTACAGTTGAAACTCTTTCTTCCTTTTGAATTGCTTCCTACCAAGTTTTTTCCAAAATGTTGATGGTATTCTCTTTAATTAATCTTTTCCAACATGAACAATAATTAAAGAGTGATTGGCATCAGATCCAAAGAAAGGTCACATCAGGACCAAATAAATAAACTCTCAAACGACTGGTAGAACTGAAGAGAAAGACCTGGAGAGGTACAGGCCTGTTTTGGGGATATGTTCAGGAATGGCCCTAAAGCTGCTTTCTTTGTGGAGATGTTGCCAATTGTGTGTGGCATCCTGACCCGTCTCAGGAGAGTCAAGAGAGGATGCAACCTCAAACATGTGGAGGAAGCCTCATCAACATAAAAAACACTAGATTTAAAAAAATAAAATCATTGCAGTCCCTGACATATTTCTATTTCTGGATCTCTTTGCTTTGTTCTCTCTGATGTATCCCACATGTGGGAGTGCTTATAGGTTAGACCACAGGGTATTTATTTCCTCCATACATAGAGTTTTTTCCCCTCTTCATTGTTTCTGGATGACCACTTGGAGATGAATTAGTTACTATGTTTTGTCACACTCTTAATCAAAGCACTGCTCAAATGGGGAACATCACAGAACATTTACAGAGCAAATGGATTTCACTTGTCTAGTACTTGTATGGTCTAACTGGCCACTCAAAGAGCTTTTACACAACAACAGTTAAACACATGCACCCCCCTGCAACCTACCAGCAAAGACAGCATCCAGCACATCGTTTCATAAGTGCACGTGTGTTCATAAAAAACAGAAAAAATGGCGCTTAATGTTGCAGCACAGGCTGTTTTCTGACTGAACGAGGACATTTGTTGTTTTTGTTGCATTACGCTCGCAGTCACAACCAGGTGACGCTGATGTGACCGGATGGGAAGTGACATTTGAACGTGTCGGGGCTAAAAGTGCTGTCAATCATGACTAATATAACTGGTGATGGAAAATCTGCTGGAGCCTCCAATTCGCACCCTCATGAACAAACAAACAAACAAACAAACAAACAAACAAACAAACAGCTTTAGCAAATGACTGGGGGCACACAAGGACAGTATAGTAATTAACAAAAATAGAAAAAACCTTCTGTAAAATGGTGACTAAACCTGTTAAGTGAGTTTTCATTTGTGTGTGGTGTCGGTTCATTCTTCTAATCCAAATCAAATCTAATCTAATTCCCCTTCTGAGGGATGAATTATTTTAGTAAAATGAGTCGAAGAAAGAGGCAGAACTGGAGGGAAGCTGATCTTCTCATGTGGCGGGCTGTCCTCGCAGAGTCAGCGCAGAGCTGCGTTTCTGCTCTGACTCACTCTTCACATCATGTTATTTTTGCTCTGGCTTGAATCCTCCATGACTGAATGCACAGGAAGTCAAACAAAAGTGCAGCGATTTGCCACAGTGTCCGTCTTACATAAACACCCAGTGCTGCCGTGATATTCACACCAACTAGCAGCGCCCACCTTTAGCTTTGATTTTACATTCACAATGGAGAGAAGAAGAAATAAAACACAATCATCTGGCAGGATAAAATATTTATCAGAGCGGAAGAGAAGTGAGAACCAGGAAGAGCTGGAGATGCTAAGGCGTCCTGGTGGGGTTAGCGTGGCGGTCAGTCTCCCGAAGCATCTCCCCATCTCCCCATTTTTCCTCCCTCTCACCCTCTCAGGTGAGACTCTCAGGTGAGGGCTGAGGAGCAGCTGTTGTTGAGGGAACACACACACACACACCTGCTCTCACACTCACTGAAGAACCACAAATGGCCCACCATGATTATTGTTCCACATGCATAAGATTAAACAGAAACGAACAGCCACACACACTCACTCCTTGGTGCAATATGGAGTTAACCTAACATGCAGGTTTGTGGGTGTTGGGAGGAAGCCGGAGAACCCGGAGAGAACCCACAGACACAGGAGAACATGCAAACTCCACCCAGAGAGGTGGAGTACTGCTGGGAGATGGATGACAGGGGTTCCGCTACAGCTCACTTAGGCTTTGGGGATGACTTTAAACTGTTTGAATAAGTCATTAAACTATAAGTGGTCCAGGATTTTATGTGAATATGGTATTTCAATGAAATTATTCTTATTCCACCAGCATCTATTTGTGATATGATGTCACCAGCATGAAGTGGCCACAGGCATGAGCACATGAAGACTCTCATTTCAGGAGTGCCTCATTAGCTTTTCCCGCTCTGGGAAATATGATAGTATTTGTCTGTAGTATCCTCTAAAGGACTACTGACTCTAGACATGCTGTTCCCTTTGGGATGGACGGCTGAGATCCACAATGTTGTTGTTACTGATTTCTGTTCATCAACCATTCATTTCTTGTCTATTCTCTGTTATGGTCAGTGTTAGCGGCAGTCCTGGTTCCTGGTCTGTGTGAGCACCAGCAGCGTCTCGCACCAGGTCGTGAAGCTAAGAGAAGGTGACAAGGAGGCCCAGCACACACAGACATCACACTGCTGTGTGCTGGACCACTGGGCGGGCTGTGTACCCAAAGGATGGGAGGAACGTGGCTGAGAGAGAGAGAGAGAGAGAGAGGGAGAGAGAGTGTGGGGATGTCAGCAAATACACCCCAGGGAGAGAAAGAGAGATAGAATGAAAAGACCGTGGCGTGACAGGGTTCAGAGGAGGCAGAACTATACTTAGACAGCAGTAAAGACAGTCAGCAGTGGCCAGAGTAGCTCCACAGTGCCAGCACACAGGAGCCCTCCTGGACCTGGGACCAGCATCACGGGGTCGGACTCACATCTGGAATCTACTCAGACAACACTGCTTTCTCAACTCAAGATTTGGAATCCAGCTTTGATGGATTTGACACAAGAGCCAAACTCAGTCCGTCTGCACCTCAGCAGCAGCAGCAGTGAGTGAGTGAGTGTTTACCCGGGGACTGTGTGACATCAGGAGGGCTGAGGAGACTCATTTAGCATTGGATGAGCTGTGTGCTCCTCTGATGCGTCCACAGTCACTGTGAGCCCGATGCCGTCTCCTTTAAAGTGCAAGACAAATACCTTCTTATCTCGACCTGTGAATAAATGAAAGGACGAAGGAAGAAAAAGTTTGAATTTCGAGATGTGAATATCTTCAGCATTCCTAATCCACAGACTGAGTCAACCCACCTAGAAAAGGACAGTTCATAAAGACATGGTGGGAAACAGAGCAGGTTGTGTTAAATGTTGTCCTTTTCAGTTATAAACCATGTCTTTGGATTGTACTGCCTTTGTTTTAAGGCTTATTGAGCTCTCTTTTGGAACTGATGCGTCACTGAGTTGCCCAGCAGAAGATAAAGTTCAAGCCAAATCCAACACAAGAATTTCCTCTTCACACGTGGAACAGCGTGTGTGCCTTACCCAGAGTGCACGTGGGGACTGTTTCTTGGTTGGAGAAGCCATCTTCCTCTCGTTTCCTCCTCACCCTCACCTCTGAGCGGGTGCACCAGGTGTCCGTGGACCTGGGCGGGGGGCCATGAGGCCCGGGACTCCGGGGTCTGGCCTGAGAGTCCCCAGAGGCTGCTGGTCCTCCCAGATGTGGCGGGGCCATGCTGAGGGTGTCGGGGGCCATGCTGAGGGTGCCGGGGGCCCCGCCGGCCCCGGGGGGCTACGAGTGGCACTTCCAGTGCTCCGTGGGGGTGGACTGTAGCGACGCCGAGCCTCGCTGCATTTGGCTGGCGGTCTTAAGGGGGGTCGCGCCCGGCGCCTGTCCTCGTCCAACACCGGTCCCATCGCCACGGCGACGGGGCCCCAGGGGGCTAGTACAGCGCCACCGCTTCTCCTGGGTAATTATCAGCACGTTTGCTGTATGAAATCCTCAATAAATGAACTTTAACAAGAACCTACAACCTTTTCAGTGAAACCTGAAACATACATGCGATCATCATGAGGTCATCATGACATCATCATGAGGTCATCATGAGATCATCATGTGGTCATCATGAGGTCATCATGTGGTCATCATGGAATAGCTGAAAGCATTCAGCATTTCACATCACACAAGGAAACATATTTCTTTTCCTGCCTGATTTTGTGCCACTGTTTGTTGAATAGTTGCGTTGGAAAAATGAGATCCCACAGTGATGGACAGAGACCTGTCCAGGTGTACCCCGTCTCGCCCAATGTCAGCTTGGACAGGCCTCAGCCCACTGGTGACCCTACTAGGAATAATAATATAGATAATATAGATAATGGAAGGAAATCCAGCTCTAAAAGTGAGCTATTACTGTCATCCCTGGGAGAATTCTCCCTCCTGTCAGATTTTATGAGCGGGGTTAGGATTGTCTTTCGTGTTTGCTCTGAATAATTCATCCAAAGGACCACTTTCCTGGCCAGTTTTACCAGCTGTCTGAAAAAGGGAAGGAGACATCAGTGCTGACGATGTAAGCTGTAAAAGAGCTGCTAGCTGAAGCAGAAAGCCACTGCTACCTGCACTCAGCCTGGTGTTTTCCTCCTTTAAGAATCCGTGTCTCTGGGCACTGCTGTGTGTTATGTCATGTTCCACTGAGGACTTCCCAGCAGGAGGACGGGGAAATGAGGCTGATGCCATTACCATGTGCAGAAAACTGATAGAACATTTCTATGTATGCTGTCAGATCATCTAGAATAACAAAACATTCAATACACTTATGTAGTTCTTCTGATTAATTCCGAAAAATAAAAACTTTATTTTGCTGTGGAATGTTTTATGAGTTGTAAGAGTATGAGATGCCCCCTCAGCTTTAGTTATAAATGGACCATAATTCCAGCCAATAAATTCAATACATTTTGAAAATGATTTTAGACTTTGTCATATTATTTGTATTCTTTTTTATCATTATTCTATTTATTTAGTTCAACTCCTCCTTGATATATATGCTGTAAAGTCATTTTCATCTGGAAATTATGGAACAAAAAGCTTTTTTTTTTGTTTTTTTATTAGGAGACATCCAGTGAAGAAATGCTAGTTAATCTAACCTGGCTTTGATTCTCCATAAAAAAAATCTAAAGCGCTCTTTTGTCTTTGTGATTTCTCTTCCTAAATAACATATTTCTTGGTTTGTTTAAGGAACTACTTGTGATCAGACGTGCAGAAAATACTGCAGATAAAAGAGGTTTGGTTGTTTAGAGAGAGCAAGTTTGTGAAGATTATCATGAAGATATAATTTCATTCAGCATCTTTCCTTGTTTGTTTGGGCTGTGGAGAGAAAGCCAGCAGCATGTTTCAGCTTGGCCATGGCACATGAATGCTCCCACATTCAATACGACAAAAATGTGGAGTCAACACAGCTACTAGCAAAAGCCAAAGGAAGTGTGTTCAGTGACACAGGATGTGGATCGCATGGCACCTCAGAGCTGGGCTTTTGAATATTTCCCAGGACTGGATTGTCATTAACAGCCTTACAGTGCTTTATGCTAATGGAAACACTTCATTGAACTCTACATGTGGAATAGGGGCTGTAAATTCTCACTGTCCCTCACCTGCCGTCTCAAAGTTTGAAATGTCAGCATAGCAGAGTGTTTTTTAAATTTCTGTATGAATTGAATGCAACACGTACCTTGAACTGCTTCTTGCCATGTCCTCTTGTCCTCGTGGACAGTTTTGACCTGGTTCTCTACACTTCCTGGCTCACTTCCTGGTTGGGATGAAACCTAACACAACATAAGTTATCATATCACAGACCAGCTGCTTCCGAAAGTACTTGTATTTCAATGTCAAACTTTTTGGTTAGTACTGATCTTACATTTTAAGCCAATCTAAAATATGTATATGGACCTTTTCAAGAAGGGTTGACTAGGGTCCACTAGACCTGGCACCATTAGTCTTACAAATTGGATATCTGTAACTCCGATTTTTTTGGAGTACCATGTATGATATGAAATATGTGTATTTATGTACTGCAGTGCATAACTCCATTGTCTATTGTTCAGCAATTTTCCAGATCTGTTTTCATGAGTCCAAATCGGTTCCTGTTTTTCCACAGCTTTCATTAAGAGAGCATATATTTATACTTTTCTATTGTTGGCTGGCTTGAATAACTGTGGCTACAGGTGAGGCTGTTCGTGATTATGAAGTTTCCGCTTTGGAAAAAGGAAGTCTAAGAAATTCCTGGCATCAGTGGAATTCTACCCGGAGTCCTATGAATGAACCACATACGCCCACACCCACCCACTCACACTTCCTTTAGCTGTGGCTGGAAACCCACCGCTAGGCACTCAGGTCAGGGAGGGCTCGGGAAATGAGACTTGTGGTACTTTAGGGTTCGCATGTTAAGACCTGGTTTGTCCTCTTTTTCCTAAAAGAGCTGAGCCTCTAAGCTTGTGTTGTCTCAACAGGCTAAAGGGCGAAGAGATGGCATGGTGTCGTCCAATGAGAACAGACGCAGGCCGCTGTCCTCGGGGGAGGTGGAGGGCTGGTCCAGGCCGGGCCCGCACACCCTGCTGCTCCAGAAGAGTCCTCAGGGGTTCGGCTTCACGCTGCGCCACTTCATCGTCTACCCGCCCGAGTCCGCTCAGCACGTCTCTAAAAGCCGGAGCTGTCAGGTGAGAGGAGAACCCCCGAGAGAACACCTGTCATTTTACCTGAGCATTAAACTGGGATGCTCTGCCATGACTCAAACCAGACACAACACAACATCTGCATTATCTACTCTCTGTTAGCCAAAATGTGGCTCCATGCACTCCAAACTAGTAGTGCTTTGTTTTCATTCTTTTGACATTTTTTATTTTAATTTGTGAGAACATTACAATACAGTGGTAGTTACTTTCAGACCACTCACAATTATTTTTTTGTGTGTAATATACAAAGTTAAGTAAATGACATCTAACAACTTTGAATAAACTGGGGAATATATACTACTACATGAAAATGCAAAAAGTAAATTAAAATAAAATGTCCACCAAGCAGTTTGAAGTAAAGTGAGAGAGATACATGAATCCTTAGATACAACAAAACATCCAAATAAAATAAAACAAATACCAGCAGTGCATGGTCACCCATTCCGTACTTCTGTCTGTACAAACCAGCACATTTAACCCACATGGCCCCCCTTTAAGTGAATATGGTTTTTAAAGTTGGAGGGAGAGGGTGATCCTTTCCATTAGGTAAATGTCATTTACGATACTTTACAATATCCACCCACAGTACAATACTGTATTGTGGGTAGGTCGGGGGCCGACCAAAGTCTTGTGAGTGCTTTTTTACCAGCAGTTATCAAAATATCAAAGAAGTATTCATTCGCTCTCCTGACCTGTAAACCAGTATTGGTTTGTATTCCATTACTAAAGAGGTCCTAACAGAAAGACAGGCTCCTGGACGTCATTTTAACGTGACAACAGCACCAGCACTGACAGATGGAGGCTGAGCTGGGCTGGACCTCAGTGTTGGTTCAGTTGTTAGGCGTTTATCTAATAAACTATGATGGTCCCAGGTGTAAAATAATCTAGACCGAACTCACGTTTCATCTTCAGCCGTTATGATGGTCTTTTTTCAGAGTGAGTTGGAGTGCTTACAGTAAAAAAAAAAAATGGATCTACCTTGGTAATCTATATACCAACTTGAGTTCTACAGGGCGTTTTAAAAATGTTTAAAACATCACCGACAAGAGAAAATATGAGACAGCCAGCCACTGCTTCCATTCAGGGCTTCAGTCCTCCTGCACAGGCATCCTGGTCTAAGAACATATTTATGTCATGTTTCACTTCCACTTTTTTACAGCTGATCCCAAATATTTGATTTTGGCCTTTAAGGGATAGACCTCTTCTTATCTTCTGAATATACTCAGTGCAAATTGCGTTTGGTCCTATTTCACATTTATCTAATTTGACCTTTAGCTCATACATGAAAGTCCCTCTCAGAAGGAAAAAGGTAGTCTGCCCATAAATAGACCAAAAGAAATGTAAAAGAACAATTATTCTGTGTTTGACTCTACATGCAGAAATGAAGCTAATCTCAAATACTATATTGCTCACTGAATAACTGAACAGGAGTCGTTTTGTGTGTTGTTTTGTGCTTTGTGGGCCTGATTCTAACAGCAGTTTAACCCTATAATACCATATTTATCATATTTGATACAAAAGGTTTCAGAGACTTTTTTCATCATCCATCAATCCATTTTTTGAACCGTGGGGGGCTGGAGCCTATCCCGGTCTTGGATCAGCCTTTGAAGGGTTAAAGATGCTGCATTTTCTTATCACGTTTCCAAGGAGACCCACCTCTGAGAACTGAATGGAGTTCATATTGTGTAGCAGCCCAGTGCGATGCCTTTAGAGTCCTCTGTGAGTCCTCATCAGGACGGAGCCAGGTCAGCAGGCCGCCAGAGCCTCTGCAAACTCAGAGTGACAGACAGCGTTAGGCTGCCAGTCTGTGAGGCGGACTGCTGAATCTGGAGTGTGTTAACCCGGTAACCTTTGCTGCACTGCCCCCCATTGGTTCTCCTCACTCAGCACCACTTCTGTGTTTCCTCTACAGGATGAAGAGAACGGCAACGCGACCGGAAACGGTGAGCTTCCCTCTTTTAGAGGTTATAGATGTTTCAGCAGTAAGGTCCATTTTTACCATCAAAATATTTATTTTAGCACGGTGACATCGGCACAACCTCTGCTAAACATTATGGAATCATTTCCTTCATGCTTTCAGTTTCCAAAAAAAACCTAAATCAAAACAAAGGCAAGAGATATTATTATTTTTTTAGATTTTAGGTTTTGTTAGAATTTTTTATTCAAAGGAAATACATGAAAATAATAGGAAAATCTTGTAATTGTAAGGAGTGAAATGTATATCAGAAATCAGATTGCTGCTGTACCTGGAGGATTACCAGGAAACGATGACATGCCGCCACACTTCCACCACCACTGGTGATTGGTGACTTAATGTCCCCGATAGGACGGGGGGGGGACGGCTCCGTTACCTCTGTAGCAAATGCACAGCTCGACTAATTATAGAAATATAAAGCAGTTATTACTGGCATCTGTTTTTAGAATGAAGGTGCATCTCACCACAGAACAAAGAGCTATTTCTGAAGCTCAGGGCCAGTCCAGCCAGTCCAGAGCTCAGGCTGACTTCAGACTGATAAACGGTCCCTGATGAGGCTTTGCTTTTAATCCTTTCATCATTTAGTACATTGGTGGATGGGACTTGACTCAGTGGGCTTTTTTCCACACCTGGAGTGGTTTATTTACTTTGGTATTGTGTACCTGTTTGCTTTATCAGGTTGCCCGCAATCTCGCTTGGAGCCCATGGACACCATCTTTGTGAAGAGCGTGAAAGAAAATGGCCCAGCGCAGCAAGCCGGACTGTGTAAAGGTCAAAGAAAGCACCAACACGTCCAGGGGAAATGTTGATAAGCTCATGTGACAGATGTGTGTTAGTACTAGAGAGCCTACAGATGTTTACCTCCAGCTGCCTGGGCTCCAGGCCGGTGTATTCAGGGGTTCTGCGCTCAGGCTTCTGGGATTTGGGGCAGGACACTGAAACTTAATCCTCACAGAATGTCTTTACATGTGCCCGTGTGTGTGTGAATGCTCCAGGTGACCGACTGGTGAGGGTGAACGGGGAGAGTGTTCTGGGGAAAACCTACTCTGAAGTGATTGGACTGATCCAAAATAGGTGGGTGTTTGTGTTATTTTTCCTTTTTCAATGTTAGTGTTGTTATTTAGTGTAACTTATGTCCTCCCTTTTTTTCTTTGCAGCAAAAGTGTTTTGGAGCTGTCTATTATGTCAAAAGATGAGGACGTGTTGCAGTTGGTAAGTGTGAGTATTATCTTTCTTCTATTTTCTCTCATTTCCCCCTGTTTACCGTCTGAATGTATGAAGCCACCAAACTCGCAAGTTTATGATAGAAATATTTTAGTCAGTTGTTAATGAATATGATAATGTTACCATTAAAGTAGTTTTACATGTTAATGTCTATGCATTTAGTGGACACTTTTATCAAAAGCGACTTACAAAGCTACGCCTGTAGTCACAGGATACACCTGTGATAAAACACGATAAAGTGATACAGGCTGGAACTGAAATAAGGTTTTAAGTGTTGTGGCGTCCTCTCTCCCTCCTCTTGTATCTCTGTCTTTTTTTAATCCTCTTTTCATTACATTGTGGCCTGCCCCTGCTGTCCTCAGGCCTACTCACAGGATGCGTACCTGAGAGGCAACGAGCCGTACACAGGTGAGGCGTACCACCTCCCGGAGCCCCCCCCCCCCTGCTATCCCTCCGCCCAGCCCCCCCCCCCCGCTCCCCCCACGGCTCCGGGGGGCCGGAGGACTCCGGCCAGCATTTCCCCCCCCCGGGGCGGCATCGGGCCCGGTCCTCCTCAGCCTTCAGCGCGCTTGACTTCCACCTGGCCAACCACAACGCCGCCATCGCCTCGGCCACTCTGCCCCCGCCCCGCAAGAGCAGCCTCCCGGCCCCCGCCCCCACGCACCCCGACTCCCTCTGCCAGCGGGCCCTGTCGGACTGGTTCTACAGCCACAGCGAGGAGCCCTGGTCCTGCCGCCCCCTCAGCGTGTCTGAGGACAGCCTGCCGGGGCTGGGCCTGAGGCCCGGCCCCCGCAGGGCCCCCCCCCCGCAGCACAGGAGGGAGACCCTGCTGCAGCATCACCAGGCGGCGGCCCAATCCCACGATTCCTGTTGGCTGGGCGGCGTGGCGGCGGGCGGCGGGCGGCCGTGCTCGGCGGGCCTGCGGGCGGCCTACGCGGGCTACCAGCACAGCTACGGCCGCTCGCTGCAGGCGCTGGCCCACGCCTCCGCGCTGGTCCCACACAGCCCCCCCAACGCAACACCACAGGACAAGAAGAAAAAGGAGGCCTCGGCGGAGCATCACCACCACACAAACCCCGTCCCCTCCGCTGGGCATCCCGGGGACAGGCCGTCCGGTCAGCAGCTGGCCGAGCCCCAGACCAGCCGCATAAAGGAGGAGGAGCTAGTGGGCTACAAAAGCTACAGCCCCTCCTTCTGCCGCAAAGCCGACCACCTCCTCCAACAGGCCACCTCCTTCAGAGAGCCCAAGTACAGCGGCCCCCAGCTCACCTGGAGCCCTGACAGCATGGGGGACAGTAATGGGGGGCTGGGGCCCCGGCCCCAGTCCACCCCCGCCCTGCTGACCTCAGAGGAGGAGGCCTTTCAGCTCGCCCAGGACCGAGAGGTCATCTCCTCCCTGTCCTTACATCAAGAAGTGGTCCGGAGACAGAATCTGCCAGCAGGCAGATGGCCCCCCTCACCCGTGGAATCACCAGAGCCTCCCGGTCTGGCCTCCCCATGTGGGACTCCCTCCCCGGTCCCTGGTGGAGCGGGCCACAGGGCCAATGGCAGTCTGGCACGGCACGCCTTCGACTCCCTGTCCTCCATTCCCTTCATAGGTCAGTGACCTTTTAACAATGAATACATATCTCTCTCTCTCTCTCTTTTGATGTAGGCAGAAATACGTCAAAATATGTTTTAGTCAGCATATTGTGGAACGAAAGCCTCTATTCAACCTGATATACCTGTGTGAATTGTGGAAGAAAGCTGGAGAGAACATAAAAATATCCACACAGAAAGGCCCATAGGGAACCCCTTTTTTTCTGTTCTTATTGAATTAAAAACCTAAAACTACTAGAAGTTCTCAAAACTAAAACAATATGTTTCTGGGAGAAGTGAATTTGGCAAAAAAGCAAAAAACTACAGAAACTCCTATGACCCCCCCTTATGTCCAACTTCCCTCTCAGGACACAAAACACAACAATAGTTATTTCAAACTAAAATGAAACATTGGGTTTTGTTGGTGTCAGACTTTAGTTTGATATTACAGATCTGTCTTAACAGCATGACACATTCTAACCTACAAACCGTGACTTGGAAACCATTTTGCCCTGCTACTTCTTCCTACTATTTCCTTTCTTTTAGCATCAACATCATTTTTCTCCCCCTCCTCATTCTGACTTGACTTTCATTTCTGGCCTCAGGCGGCATTAAAGGCCGGCGCTCGTCCTACCTGCTGGCCATCACCACTGAGAGATCCAAGTCTTGTGATGAGGGGCTCAACACTTTTAGGGAGGAAGGACGTGTCTTCTCGTGAGTGCCAAAACTGAGGAATTTTTAAAAATACATCAATCTTGTTTTAAAAGTATTTTCTATAGAACTTGCACAAAATATCGATTGACAAACTTTATTTTAAATACATAGAATGATCAACATATTGAACATATTCCCTAAAAGTTCCATTCCATTTGAAGCAAAGTGAAAATTAAAAACGAAAATGAACCTAGAATATGTTGGTAACTCTGTTTGTCTGTTTGACAGTAAACTACCAAAAAGGGTCAAGAGCTTTTTTACAGACGGGGTGAGTGATTATGAACAGGTGTGATGATCGAACCTGATTACATGTACTGATTTCACTTTCCTAAAACCAAGTAAAACCCCTAAATGTCACCTCATTGCTCTTCAGTCTCTGGAGAGCCTGCGAGTCCAGGAAGAAGCACGATCGAAGCGGCACTCCACCTCTGAGCTGGGAACCATTACCTTCAGCGAGATCCGCAAGGAGGGCTGGCTGCACTACAAACAAATCCTCACAGAGAAGGGAAAGGTACTTTTGGTTACACGTATATTTACCTAAAGCAAAATACATTTCTGAAGGAAGTATGCACAGTGAGAACATAGGCTGCTCTTGCCTTATCCATCCATCCATCCATCCACCCATCCATCCATCCATCCATCCATCCATCCATCCATCCATCCATCCATCTATCCATCCATCCATCCATCCATCCATCCATCCATACAAAGGGTTACATCAAGGGACTGTTTGGTTCTCATATGAATATGAATATGAAACAAAAAACAAAATGGAAATATATTTGCTATGCAAAGGTTTTATAGTTTGTTAGTTTCTAATCCAGTTAATTGGTCAACTCCAGAGTTCTGATGCTGTGATTGGTGCTCTTTTTTCCTAATTGCAGAAAGTTGGGGGCAGTATGCGGCCTTGGAAGCGCGCCTACACTGTCCTCCATTCCCACTCGCTCTTCCTCTACAAAGACAAACGGGAAGCTGTGCTTCATGGTGCGGGGGCAGGGCCCAGTCAGGAGGAATATTCCCCCATCAGTATCAGGGGTTGCCTGATAGACATCGCGTACAGTGAAACCAAGCGGAAGAACACCCTGAGGCTGACCACACAGGACTTCTGCGAGTATCTGCTGCAGGCCGAGGACCGGGAGGACATGCTGGCCTGGATCCGCATCATCAGAGAGAAAAGCAAATCCGATAACGAGGTTAGATGAACGCCTAGCTATTGCTGTACTAGTTCTACAAAAAAATAACACACACACACACAAATGCTTCCCGTGCTCACCTATACCTCCCATTCTTAAAGGAGATCGGCTTCTCGAGGCAAGCCCTCATCAACAAGAAGCTGAATGACTACAGAAAACACAGGTGGGTGTGGCCTAATTAAGCATGAAGCCTCCTAACTGCGCTTTGTGAATGAGCCTTCTTAAACTTTAAGCTTAAAAAGGTAGCCACTGACCACATCTTATGGGAAGTGTTTGTGCAGCCTCACAGGTAACAAACCGGACTCCTCTCCCAGAGCCCATCGCATGATGCCTCCCTTCCTGCTGTCTAAGACTGACAACGCCTCAGGACATCGATCGGCCAGAGCTGGTGGTCAGTCTGAATCAATAATAGAACACTGAGGATACAGAGTCAGTCAGATCTGTGGTTTTACACTGAACAAATGACTTTCTATTCTGTTATTTCTTATAGTTCTAACTCCTTAAATGTTTTTTCCACATCTGTTTGTGTATCTGGACTCTCAGATGATAAGGCTCTGTGGGGCATCAACATCATGAAGAAGGCCAAGAAGACGGGCAGTCCCAAAGCGTTTGGGGTGCGACTAGAGGACTGTCAGCCCGCTGTTAACCACAAAGTAAGCACGACACATAAACCACGAGTCACACTATCAACCACTTCACTGATTCAAGAATAAATCAGCAGCGTCAGAATCAAATGGTTAAAGCTCTATTCACGGCATATTATGACCTTAATAAGGCTGAATTATTACTGATGAATAAAAACATGAAGCACGATTTAATGCTGTAAGACACTATAGTGGGCTCTACATATATCCACTGATTCACACATCTACAGAATACTGGAGCTGAACATCTCGTATTTTTATGTCTTAACCAAATGAGAAAAGAGGTTCATTTACCCGGCAGCTTTATTTCTGTTAATTTCTTGATCTTTCTTCATCTCATCCCATTTTTTAAAGGCTTAAACTGGTACAAATACAAACAACAAATGCAGCTTTTTAATGTGAATGGGATGAAGAGAATATCAGAAGATTGAGACAAACAAATCAAAGCAAACTGAAATTGCCAATTTCCTTTATTATTGATTAAATGGGCCTGAGATGAATTTCTGTTGATGAGCTGATTTCAGACTTTTCTCCAGGAAAGAACTACTGGACTATGAAATGGGTGTTTTGTTACTGGTGCATTTCAGTAGTGCGATCTCTCTGCCCCTCCCTCCAGTTTGTCCCTCTGATAGTGGAGATGTGCTGTGGGGCTGTGGAGGCCACGGGTCTGGAGTACACCGGGATCTACCGCGTGCCCGGAAACAACGCCATGGTGTCCCACCTGCAGGAGCATCTCAACAAGGGCCTGGACATCAACACGGCCGAGGAGGTGGGGGGGCTCTGGGTGTGGTGTGTCTGTGTGCAGAAGCTAATGTGGAGCCCGAGCTCATACATGCACGCTTTGTCTCCACAGAGGTGGCAGGATCTCAACGTGATCAGCAGCCTGCTGAAGTCATTCTTCCGAAAACTGCCTGAACCTCTGTTTACAGACGGTGAGTTCAGACCGTTCACTGCTGAGTTGAATCATCTCAGACCATTCTCAACATCAGACATGAGGAGATAAACTGATTTGTGTTCCCTTACGTGTACACTGGTGTGAAGGCGTATAGAGAAATGAACTGGCTGAGCAGTACTTTGTTGGTCACATTTCTGTGTTTGCCTGCAGACAAATATAATGACTTCATTGAGGCCAACCGGATAGAAGATGCTGAGGACAGACTCAGGACTATGAAAAAACTGGTATTTTAAATCCTTCTCCTTGTCAATATTTTTCTTATCAGCAAAACGCTGTTTAGTTAAACCCATTTTCTTGTTCCTTCCAGATCTGCAATCTCCCAGATCACTATCATCACACCCTGAAGTTCCTAGTGGGCCACCTGAAGAGGGTGGCAGACCACTCTGAAAAGAACAAGGTGACCTCACCTGATTCCCCTTCACTGCAATACATTTTGTTTTCCCACAAATCCAACTACAATTGTGACGGTATTTAAAACATATATATTCCAGATGGAACCCAGGAATCTAGCCCTGGTATTTGGTCCCACCCTGGTGAGAACATCGGAGGACAACATGACTGACATGGTCACCCACATGCCCGACCGTTACAAAATAGTGGAAACACTTATACTCCATGTAAGAAATTACACCAGTCTCTTCCTGAGGCACTGCTGCGTTTAAATGAGCCACTGATGTGCTCTCTTTTCTCTAATTCAACAGTATGATTGGTTCTTCAGCGATGGAGAGCTTGTTAAGGACAACAAGGTATGTTGGCCAGCTACTACGTTTATCTTGATAAAACACAATTGACAACTTGAATTTGATGTTGATGTGTGTGTGTAGACCCCAGAGGTCAGGGAGGACATGCAGCCGGTGCCCAACATTGACCATCTGCTGTCCAACATCGGAAGGCCTGGTATGCCAGGAGAGGCGTCAGGTGAGGGGAGGGGGGGGGAACTGGTTGGGGTGATGATGCGATACATTACAATGAGAGAAATGACTCACCCTGTCAGGGTCCAACTAATCTATCTAATCCTATAGCGTGGAATAGATTGAAAAGAATTGGTGTTTATTTGCAGAAAGTACATTTTCATATGCAAGGCCTGGTGAAGCCAGAGCGCAACAACAAATCAAACTAAACAACAAATCAGGGCTTATAAAACCTAATATAGAAACTATTGAAGAAGTAACAAGGTTTTACAGGGATAACTTACAAACCAAGGCTACCCTTCAAAAATCACCAGTGTCATTTAGATTTGCATTTTTATTTATATGTTTTTTTACAGAGTAATGTTTATTTTTGTTGTTTATTTGCAGTTAAATCACTTAATTCCAGTGACAAACAAATATTGAATAGACATCAATACGTAAATATTTCTTAAGAAAGAGCTCATTATTCAATGGTATTATTCCATAACTCTAGGTATAATTATGATAAAAGAATTGGTCCAAACACAGAACCCTGAGGAACTCCACAACTTACTCTGCTAAGAAAGGATTCATCATCTACATGAACTAACTTGAATCAATCAGATAATCAATCAGTCACCATTAATCCTAATAACACAGAGTATTTGTAACAGATTACAGTGATGATGATATAAAATGCTTTAGAACTAAAAGGGTCATAGGCTAATATAGGTTGATCGTTAGATAACACTCCAGGATCAAAATAAGTTTTTTTAAGTAAAGGTTTGAATACAGTAAACTTAGATTTCTTTAGCACATTGAATGTCACCAAAGACCACTAAAACAAATGTACGCACACATACATATGTATAAGAAGTAATCCCCTACTCACCCTCCAGGGTGGTCATTATCCTTCGGGCTGGGGTCCTCTACCTGGGAGTTTGAGGGTCCTGCATCGTATGGTTTAGTATCTTAGGAACAGTTTTCTGTGATCTGTTGGAGCCACTCCCCCAGTTTGGGGGTCACAGCCCCAAGTGTTTCTATTACCACAGGGTCCACTGTCTCTCACCCTCCAGCTCCTCTCTCATTCTTCGATATTTCCGTAGCTTGTCGTGTTCTTTCTCTCTGGCGTTGCTATCACCTGGTGTAGCTACCTCCATCACAATGGTCCTCTTCCTCTGCTTGTCCACCGCTGCTAGGTCTGGTAGAACAGCCTTAAACCAGCATGTCACATTTTATGTTTCATGTTCAAATAAGGTACCAGTATTCTCTTCATATTTTTAAGAAATATGAACATTAACAAAATCAAGTCACATAATTTCAAAATAACTTTCAAATCCAAAGTTATTCACTGCTTACAGGTCGATAAAGCATGTTTTGAATTGAAATATTTTAGAGTGGAAGTACTTTGATGAGAAAAAAATGCTTACAAGATTACTTTTTTTATCCAGCCCACCACGGGAAGAGTTTTCAAATCAAATATGCCAGTAATTCTCAGCTCGTTAGTTGTTTTCTATTGAGCAGACATAATATAAAGGCTGTGATTGGTTGACACACCCAGTGATGCCCATCCAGATCAATCATCATCAATCAATCGCAATCATCATCCAATTCTTTCTATATCCAAGTATGAAAGTGTGGGTACTTATAATGTATTAAAGCAAGCTAAATAAATCTTGTCAGATTTTATAAGCATGTATACACAAACACACATACATGTGTGTCTGTGTGCGTGTGTGTGTGTATATGTTTGCATAATAAACTTATTCGCTTGTTGTGATTCATCGTCGTTCCTAATCATCATCTAACCTTCAAATGAGCAGACCTAACTAACCATAAGTTAAAAAGTCAGAGCAGTAGTTTGGTTCCCAGTCTAACCTCTTTGACTCTTTGCTCTGCTTTGCCTCCCGTTTATCAGACGTCTGCATTTGGCCCTTTTGGTACTTCATGTGGATTCTCATGACTTTTCCCACTTTTTCCTCAATCTCTTTTTACTGTATCTTTCTGCGCTACTTTTCTCTAGCTGAGACATGGGATCAGCCTCTTCGGTAGGGTAGGACCACAATTTCCTTCTTCTACGTTTGTGTTTCATATCTATTTTTTTCCATCAGTAATGTTTCTGCTTCCACCATCACTCCTTTGTCATCAGAGACAAACTACCTATTTTTGCATACTGTACTCTTTAGTTTCACTTCAAAAACCAATCATTTAAAAATACCCACAGTGTTTCTCCTAGTGATTTGAAAGTTTCTGTACCCACTCCATAATGAACCAGCCTTAATGCTTATTTGTATTTCTCTCTATTAGATTCCACCACCAGCGATTCAGTTAAGTCAAAGGTAAGCAGAAAGTCTTTGACATGGAAACATTTCCTTTGTCTGGAAGGTGAAACGTATCTGTTATTCAGCACTTGATTGGCATTTCAACCTTTCAGATTTCTTTAGGTTCCAGGAAAGACCTGAATGCCAGGGACCTCCTTCCCAAGTCGATCATCAGTGCTGTGACCCGCAAACGTAAAAAGAGCCTGAGCGTCCACCTGCCGGGCAGCAGCGCCGAGGAGGACTCCGAACACGAGCCGGCCCGAGCTGCAGACCACGCCGAGGAGAGGCCAGAGAGGGAGGAGGAGAGGAGAGGGAAAGAGCCTGTAAACGGTGTACCCGTCTCTCCTAAGAAGGAAAAAAGGCAGGGGAAAGAGAAAGTGGTGGGGGCTCAAAGCCCGGTGGACGGTAAAGCAGAGGGGGGGCCAGAGGTCAGCAGAGACGTGAAGAAGGAGGCGGACAGCAGTGTGAGGAACCTCCAGAGGCCCAGAGGGCAGAGAACCACCCCCCCGCTGCAGCACCCCCGGCCAATCAGCTTCCTCTACTCACATCAGCAGGTGCTGGCCACCCAGCCGAAGCCCCCCCCCGCCGCCTGCCCCCCCTCCTACCTGAGGACCCACGACCAGAGCAGAGCACGCCCCGGCGTTCCCTTCTGGGTTTCACCCAGCAGGCCTCCCAACCCGGACCGGGCCCAGCCGTCCGCCCGGAGCCAGGCCGCTCCACTCCGCCACAGGAAGACCCGGGGGGGGGCGCTGAGGGCCATGTCCATGAACCTGGAGCTTGAGCTGGACAGGAGTGAGGAAAAGGTCAGAGGGTGGAGAACAGACAAGGTGGAGATCATAAGAGTCACTGAAACTCCAGCTCAGCCTGGGTCTACTGGACCGGGGTCTGGTCAGAGAGTGGAGGTCCTCCCTGAACTCACCCAGAGGGGCGCAGCGTTCTCCTCCCCAGGCCCCCCCGCCGTGGTCCTGAGGAGATCTGCCCTGGATCCCCGGGACCGGACGAGGGCGTGGCGGCGTCACACCGTGGTGGTCTGACCTGGACGTGGGCTCTGCTGGGACCTGCCGCTGACCACAGGGCAAACCGGGGGGGGGGGTTCTACTGCTTCAGGGTTCTTTTACCAGAGTTTTTAATGGCGCCAAAGTTGGAAACAGTATTTGATGGTGAAGAGATCTTTGATTTGCAGCTGGTCTTTCTACTGGTTTCTGCTCTCGGTTCTTATCCCAAAATGTTTAAAGTGTGAGCAGATCCTGTTTCTGCTCACTGAGGACAGCAGCTCAGATTAAGTCAGGAGGACTTCAGGTTATGTTTACCTCTCAGACCATTACAAGCTCTTCCAAAGTCTCCTGAACATTTCCAGCCGTCTCCCTGTGGACTTAAAGCAGCCATGCATGGGGTCAGAGACAGAAGAATATGCAATCCATACGTTTTACACTCCACACAAGCCTGTTGTGCGTCCCTGTGTGCGTGAGGGTGAGCTGTGAGTCTGTTTTGTCAAATATGAAGTGTTTAAGGCAGCTATGAGAAGTTATGCCAAAAAGATGTTTTTTTCCTTTGTTCATTTGTGAAAGCAGCATCAGAATGATGCCAAAAAAAGCAGATTGATGTTCCTATTTATACACGTAATGAAACAACTGGAGTAAAGAAATAATCTCAGAATTTAAAACCAGTCATACTTCGGTGTTCTTTTCCTATTCAGTTTCTTTATATTAGCTTCCTTCCAAAACAATGCTGCCAATCAGTGTCCTCCTAACTGACTCCATGTCTGTCTTAATCATATCTTGAGCTCAAACCTTTTGTCTCTGCCCTTAAATGTGTACTTCATGTATGTGGGTGACTGTCCGTGGACCATTTTGTAACTGTTGTAAAAAGCATTGTTAAATTAACCTCTGTATGTGTAGATATATGTGTGTATGTATATATATATATATATTATATTATATTATTTGTTTTGGAAATGTAGTCCTTTTTCTGAACTGATTTTAGGGCCTGGCATTGAGCTGGGATGAGGCTGAGGATAACTGGCAACAATGAGTGCTCCCAAACATCTGCAGACTAGGTGCAACTTCTCCCACAGCTCTCTGTCGAAACAGGCACTGAGGAGAAAAAACAACCCCAAATGTTGCTGACCACTCACACAGTTCTGCTGCCTTAGGAGCTAATGTGTTTACTCATCAGTCGTCATGGTGAGATGAAGCTCTTTATCTAATTGGTTCCCTATGAAGAAGACATCATTCACGCTCTGAGCTCGTCTTACTTGGGGAGACACTTTACATTAACACGACCATTTATCTACAATAGGTTTCCAGTCAGTTGCTGCTGCTTGCAGCTGTAATGTGGGACCCCCTGCCACACAATCTGCAGGCCTCCTCACACATCACAGTTCATTTCCCAGATCTACTGCCACAGGCTCCGGCCCCCAGTGGGGTGGGTCACATCACTGCTCATCAGCCACGAAAACACCTCAGTCTGTTAGAGGCTCTTAAGAGTTCCAGCAAAGCTCCCCGATACATTTCAACTTCCCAAATGTGTCACTTTTCTGCAAATCTTTAAGAATACTTTACACTGCAACAATATATCTTCCATGCAGACGTCAATTAAGTATTATCGATTTGAATTTTGCTTTAAATTTTGTAGCAGAAAGTGAAGTCAAGCTACAATTTTAAAGGCTCAGGGGTGGAAAAGCCTAATTAAATACCATTCAAACTCAACAACAAAATCCTTTATTCAGCATTTAGTTATGGGGACACCAAGGGAGCAGATCTCCCTTCTGTGGTTAAAATACAGTTCAACTGGTCCCAGTTGGTGTTCCAACCACTCAGAGCCCCAGGAATAACTAAACTGGACACTGGGACATACACAGAAGAAAGGTCAGAGCTAGCTCACCATTTGAGATGAGGATCATCTCAAAGCTGAGAGAAAAGGTTTTTTAAATAAAATTCTTCTACCGATGTGCGAGAGCTGAAGGGAAACCTGTGGATCCAGTTCCCGGGTCTGTTTACATGCAGCTTACTCACAGGTGCTGGACTCGGGGATACTGGTGCCACTGAGCTCTGGGCTTTTGGCAGGAAATGTCTGAACCTTCATTCGATGGCTTGCTGCTCAGAAAACTGCAAAACTACAAAAGCATCAAACAAACACAGAATGTGAATGTGTTTTTTAATCCCACTAATGTGGACAATGCATCATAATCAGATGAATCATGTATCCGGATACATGAGTGATGACGTAATCAGATTCCTGTGACCCCACACAAGAAGCAGTGGGATTTGATTAGTTAAAGAGGTTTCTGTAGTAAGCCAGAGGATCACTGGAAGCTGAGGGGAGATTCTCATCAGTCCCTCCCTCTACTGAGCAAAGTGTCAGGAATGAAGTCTTCATGATTTCCGGGCTGCGTCTCACAGACGGAGAGCCTGCTTCATGAGGACATGCGGCTTCTCTGGTGGGCTTTCCTCAGCAGGTAGACCAGCCCATGGGTGACGAACGGCCACAGCAGGAAGAGAAGCACCGTCTGGCCCGACACGTCAAACGGCCACCACGTTTCCTCCTGAGGGGAAAGGGGAGGAAAGAACAATCCACGGTCTGCTCGGGTCTTAGCAACACTATTATCAGATCATTTATCTGTAAACGACAACACAGATTTACACAGAACAGCATCAACAACAGCGTTTGATGTCTGTTACCTAACATCAAACCATACTCAAAGCCCTCCCAGTAATTCTGAGAAATCCAACCCTTTTTCTGGGAGAAAATGTTCATTTGATGAAGGAAAACATCAAAACTGAGAGAGAAAAACCTTCATGGGGCAGCTTTACACCACCATATCTTCACTTTGAGAACTGGCTGCTGTTCAGCATGTGGATATCTAAGCTGTAAGGTCTGATTTGCCTCCCATCAGTCAGCAGAAACAGCTCCATTACTGGAGAGAACATGGCTGCCTGATCTCTGAGGCTCTCGCCCATGTTTCCCATGTACTTTGTCTCTGGAAGTGTCTCAGACATGTTTCTTTTTTTAATTATGAAAAAAACTCAAAGACCTACTGTATATTATCTTTAAAACAACTGGTTTTGCCTCCTGATACAGATTATTTTTAAAAGATCAAAAACATTTAAAATTATAGTTTTATATTGAAAAAATGAAAGAAAGAAAATATTAATGAAAATGATTGTACATGCTTGTACCAAACTGAAACATTTGTTATTCTTTGGACACTGAAAGGACTTTTAGTGGAGATTTTGGGAGGCTAAACCTTCCAGTAACTGGTATAGAAAGGTGCATGGTTCCACCTAAATCTCAACCATTTGCTCTGTTGTATGACAAGATGAGAAGAAAAAGCCTTCAGAGATGAGCTGGGACCTGTCCATGTCCCCGTTTAGTGGCCCACATCAAAGCCTCTGACCTTCTGTGAAGCTGCGGCCGAACACTGCGGGCATGGTCTCCACTCCGAGCCGTGGGCCTGTCACACAGTCCAACAGTTAGTCCAGAGCACGTCTACCCTGACGGTGAGCTGTGACTGAGAAATGCTGGTCTTGTCCTCACATGTGTGGCCGCCAGCCGCTCCACCACCTCCAGCCTGTCCATCACGCTCCTCATGTCCTGCCGCAGCCTCTGCAGGGCCAGCACGATCTGCTGCTGCAGGTGGCCGTCGTGCAGCCTGTCGGCGCCGCCCTCAGAGCCGTCCCCGCCGCCGCGTCGCGCCCCCCCACCGCTGCCAGCAGCCCCCCCTCTGGGGTTTCCTTGGGGAACGCCACCTGTGGATCATAACGAGTCAATTCAATACATACACAATCAGAAAACCTCAAACGCCCAGAGCTAAACTTTATTTCCCTGCCCTTGTTGGATGAAGCAGTAGTGATAAAAAGACTAGAACATTTCTGAAGAAATTCTCTGAATTGCTTGTTCCTGGTAGGGTTACATAGGGGGGCAGGAGCCTGTCCCAGCTGCCATTGGGCGAGAGGCGTGTAAACCCCAGACAGATCACCAAGTTTAGGATTCCCACCCCTGTAGGAATGGAGGCTGAGAATGCTGTGCCCGGCTACTACGTGCTGGGATTGGTCAGAAGCCTCCCCCCACAGGCTGAACCTGCTGTGTAGGAGATCCCAACCTGCAACCCTTACTATCAATATCTTTACCATTGTTCATCCAGTCTGTGTTACTGTGGAGGCTGCCTCTCCCTCTCTCTCTCTTGCCCTCTCTGGTTCTGCTCCAGGTTTCTTCCTCCTAAAGGCAGTTTTTCCTCCCTGTGTCTCCTAGTGCTGCTCTTGGTGGAACTGTTATTCTTCTGGAAATAACTTATAGTCTGAGCTGCTCTGTTTGGGAAGCTGGGAGATACCTGTTGTTGGGATTTGGAGCTATAGAAATACAATCTAACTGAATTGCATTAGCTGTGCAGTGGCCTCCATCTCCTCCCTTGGTGAGGCTACAATAAACCCTTGTGTACACCAGAGGGTTTTTAACTGTAAATGTGCTGTCTGACTACTGAAGCCTTTCAGACTGCGGTGGCTCACGTTCTCTCCAGTTGTGCTGGGAGCCTCCTCTGTCTGTGTCGGGCCTCCTCCTGCCGGGGCCGTGACCTTTGCCGTCCTCCGCTCCCTCCCCCCCCCTGCCCCGCTCCCGCCTGCCGGCCCTCCAGCCGCCCGTGCCGCTCACAGCTCTGGCCCAGGGGGGGCTCTGCTGACAGGTGGCCGTTGTGAAAGCCGTTGGACTTGATGACTGGAATCTGCAACCAGGAATCGCTTTTCAAAAGATTTTCCAACAGCCGACCACACTGTGGCGTTAGCTGCACAAAGGCTGTGCATCTCACCTTAATGCTGTGAAGCTGCTCCACTGAGTCCACAGAGTCACAGAATATTTCGCTTTCCGAGTCACTGGTCAACAGCAAACTCTCTGAAACGCCAGAGTCTGCAGCACACACACAAAACATC